ATGGAAAGGAGTTGCAAAGAGTTATCACGTGACTATGTATATAATCTATTGAAAAGTCAGAAATATGTTACATAAAATTCAGAAATAGTCATCTTTCACATGGACCCTTCTTCAAATCCTGCAACGATGTAACATGTTACATACAAAAACACATAAGCAATTAGTGGTCCTATGTCCTATCAATACCTTATGAAAATGATATAACGATAAATAATATATATGTATGAAATTTGAAGGCTTGGAATATGCAAACTATTTCTTTACTTAAAAAGATTAAAATTTGGATCTAAACGACTAAATCCACTTAATTATATTCCAAGAATTTATAAAAAAAATTTATGCTTGTCTTCTTCTTTTAAATGTCATAATTTTTCAAAATGTTTTGCAAATTTTAGCCGCACACGCAAATATAAGAGTAATAAGCTGTGAATTTCTCTTTTTGTGTGTTTAAGAATTTTTTTATCTAGGCCCAACAGTCCTATCAAGCCCAAAATTGAATCAGATCATAAAACTCAAAATGGCTCTTTACTGCAACCCTTTTACGGGTCATTTCAAATTTACGAGAGAGACGTCAAAACCGCTAATTCGATTTCTTCTATTCCTCTCCATTAATTTTCTCTTTCTTGATTCGTCATCTCCAAATCGATCGAGAGGTAAGTCACTCTCCTCGATCGTTGTTTGATTATCCGATTCTCTAAGATCTATATGATGAATTTGTTATTGTTATTTGTATGTGTTGTTTCTTTACAATTTTTTTTTTGTTTCCTCGAGATCTATCGCCTCCTCTGAAATATCCGAAGCTGAAATTTGTTGGTTTTTCTTAGATCGGGTCCTATCGATTATATGTTGAATTATGTTGGCTTGATTAGGTTTGAATATGTTTTGAAACTTCATTTCAATAACCATATAGTATAATCTGATATATGTTGCATATCCAAATCCGATCAATTGTTTCTGATATATTCTCATCATGTAAGCTTTGAATTCGATGTTTTAGCTTTTTTGTTTATATTAGATTTTGTTGATTATGTACCTTTGCTACATGAATTTGTGGCTTGATTATGTCCGATCTCTTTATGTACAATGAGATGGTAATGTTTTTAACATCATCACTTCAGGTTTAAAGATGTCAAGAGCCACATACATTGTCGGTGCCCTTGCGGGATATGCGGTTATAGCATACGTGTGTGACAAAGTTATTTCTATAGACAAGCTATTCGGAGGCAAGTTTTTAGTCCCGAAAACCTCGTTACTTTGTTACTAATGATATGCAATAATATAGCTATAATTGGTTGTTGTAAACACATGCACTACACCGGGAACTGTTTCTAACAAGGCATGGTGGGCTACGACTGAAGAGAGATTCCAAGCGTGGCCAAGAACCGCCGGTCCTCCAGTCGCGATGAACCCAATCAGTCGCCAGAACTTCATCGTCAAAACACGCCCCGAATAACTTTCATTGAGTGTTTCGTTCTCATTCGTTATGGATGATCTGTGAGGATCGGCGAATTTCTCTAGCTGGTTATAGCAATAATTTGTGTTGATGGATACAACATTATTCAGCCCAAGCTTTCTCTGATGCATGACTTTTTGTAAGGTTGTTGATTTTGACGATAAATGAAATCGAGCCAAAAGACTTAACATCTACCTACCATCTTTACGTTTTGCTTTCATGTTGCATTTTTAGCTTTAAACAAAGTTTCAGTTCTGTTTTGGATTGAACGTGAGGTAATAGTTGAACATGATTCTATACCGGTTCATACACCAAATCGAACCAGTGTGACTAATATCATACAACAAGGTTAATAATACATGTGAACATGTATCATTCCACATCCATCTACGAACTCAAACTCAACTCTCTCAAACCCCTAAATAGAGACTACCTGATAAAGTGAAACTTTTAAATCATCGTGAAAAATCCTGAAGGAGACAAAAATTCAGTTTCCTTCATTTTTTCCATCACCACTACCATGTCTAGCAGCTGAGCCATCTTGCCCATCAGCATCACTCTGGCTTGCATCGGTCCCACCCTGTTTACTTCCACCGCGTGATTCGTTCATACCCGCTGGTTGGTATAGAAGGAATGTGAAATGTCAGTAAATATAAAGGAGGAAAATTGATAATACGTTTTAAATCGAGGAGAGATTCGATTACTGTTGTTTGCACCAAGAGCAGTTTCCGAGTGGTGCATCGGATGTTGTAGTCCATTGTTATTAGTCAAACCCATTGGTCTAATCCCCATATGTCCTTGCATAGCT